TGCAGTAATGATGCTGAAAATACAGCTGCGCATCACAGAAATACATTACAGTTTAACAGATATTCACATAAAAAACAGCCGTTTTAAAATTGTAATAATATTTCACTATTTTTTACTGTATTTTTGATCAAATAAATTCAGCCTTGATGAGTGACACTGAAGACTGGAGTAATGATGCTGAAAATACAGCTTTGATCACATAAATAAATTACAGTTTAACAGATATTCACATAGAAAACAGCCGTTTTAAAATTGTAATAATATTTCACCATTTTTTACTGTATTTTTGATAAAATAAATGCAGCCTTGATGAGCAGAAGAGACTTCTTTCAAAAACATTAAAAAATCTTAGCAACCTCAAACTTTTGAACAGTACTGCATACATGCATTTAATCAGGTTTATGCATACTTTACTGTATTTTTGATCAAATAAATTCAGCCTTGATGAGCAGAAGAGACTTCTTTCAAAAACATTCAAAAATCTTAGCAACCTCAAACTTTTGAACAGTACTGCATACATGCATTTAATCAGGTTTATGCATATATACTTTTTTATTAAATATTTCCAATAGAATAAGAAAAATTAAAATTGAAAACATTTTTAATGGTATTTTACCTGAAAACAAGACAAAAATACTGCTGATTTTTTTTGTGGTGTGCCGTGAAGGCTTTGGCTTTCTGTGTCTCAGGCTTTTGTTCCTGGTTCGTCACAGTGATTAGCATGAATTAGCTAATTAACCTGAGCAGCAGAGTTGAGGCTTGAGTGCTTCTGTGCAAATGAACAGGTGCTAAGTTACACAGACACACACATACACACTCATGAAGTCCCTTATGGTTATGAGTCCAGACAAAAGCTTCTTGAGATGCAAATGTATGTAGGCGTGAGCCACAACCTTTGGTCTGAGGAACAGCACATGTGAACATGTGATATTTGTTTGTTTGTACACGTTTGTGTGTGTGTGTGTGTGTGTGTGTGTGTGTGTGTGTGCGAGAGAGAGCGAGAGAGATACATGTGTGTGGGAGTGTAAGGGGGTTGTGTGTTTACATGTTCACATATTAATAAACATCTTTAAAAGCCCAGGGTGAGATCTGTTCTTGCCGCAGATAATGGTTATAAATGCTGCAATACTTCCATGATGTATTAATAACTGGGTCCGCAGCTGTAAACCTGCAGGACAGATGTATTTATGGAAGCCACGGGACAAAATTATTAGTTTATAGCTCACAATTTGAGCTTTTTTTCTCAGAATTGCAAGATATAAACTCAGAATTGTATGATTTTAACAAAGAAAGAAAAGAAAAAAAAATAGAAAAGTCCAAATTGTGAGATATTAACTCACAGTTGCGAAAGAAATTAGAATTGTGAAATAAATTTGCAATTACAGAACAAAAAAACTTGAATTGCAAGATGTAAACTTCAAGATGTAAACTGGAGTTTATATCTTGCAAATTGTAAAAAAAGAAAAAGAGATACAAAGTCACAACTTATTTATTTTATTTTATTCTATAGTGTATTGTGAAAAGTGCTATACAAATAAATTTGACTTGGCTTTAAAGTCAACACGCAATGCCATTCACAACCATAATCTGATGTATTTTTAAGGTAAAACATGATATTCAATGAAAAAATGTAGGGCAGTGCTGCATCAACATGGATTGATGAATCATCAACAATAAGGCCAGGAATGTGCATTAAAAGTAAACAGGCTCACTTCTTAATTCATGCTGACTTTAAAGCTAAAAAATAACTCTCAAAGGAAGCAAGTTATGGCTGAAACGTGCATTGATTTGATCAAGACTTTATCATTAAGACAGGAGTTTCATTGGACTTTTGAAATAAGTTCAAGAAACAATGTAAAAAACAAACAGTGTGACTAGTCAGATCTGATTCACAAACAAATGACTCTTATGAGTCAGTTCTGACTGTATAAGTGAATCAAAAACATCCAGTGTGACCAGTGGAGCCCGATTCACTAAACAAATGATTCTTATGAACCAATGTTTTTAATATGTCGTTCAAAAAGATGAGTTACTGATTTGAATCAGTTCGAAACACAGCCCTATATAATAAACAGCATTAGTTAAGAAAGAATGATTTACATCTGTATGAAAAATTGGAATTATAACAGAAAAATACACAAACGAATCAGAATCAAATCAAATCAAATGTGAATTAGAATCAAATGAAATCGGTCAACTCTGTATTGATTCTCTTATTTCAAAATGATGTTTCAAAGAAGCTGCTGCAAAGATTATATTGCACTCCAGCAACCCATAATTATGCATTTCTCATGCATCATTAGAGAAAATATGCCAGTAATTACAGGATATTTATGTATAGTCTTAAAGTTAAAATGGAAATGGAAAATGGGTATGAAAAACTAAATTACGCCTGATTCACACACACACACACACACACACACACACTCACTCACTCACTCACACACTCTCACACTCACACACTCACGCCGCTATTCAGAATGGAGAAGAGAAGGTCTGAATGGAGATGGTTTTATCAACTCTTAACAGCTGGAGTTTGCATGCAAGACGCTTTTAATTAAATCTTTGTTTTGTTGCAAGACAATGCAACTCTGAAGTCTTCCAAACCGAACGTTTGCTTCATGCCGCGTCTCCTAAAGTCCATCTGAGGCCTGCGTTGAGTGACAGGAGCCGAACTGCGTGAGGACTGATAGGAACCGACAGCAGCGTGTCGGGGTCCCATACAATCACAGCAGTCTGTGCGTCTGAAGCCAACGCGACAGCGATTCAGCTGTGCAGACGGAAATAATTGACAGTTTGTTCGTGAGCATCTCAAAAGCCAGGTGTTCTCCATTTACAATATCTGAACAAATATATGAGAGGGTGGATTTTCAATAAAGCAGAAACACGAAGCGCTGCAACCTTGAAACAGTTTACTGCTCGTGGGAGTGAGATCAGAGAGAGACTGTAGATGCTGAAATGCATGGTTCAATTTAAAAATACTAATTTCATGATTTATTTAAACCTTTTAAATTGCAAACATTATTTTGATGAGTTCTTAACCATATTTTGAATTATGCATTGAAGTTTGTTGTGTTTTAGGTTTAAAATAAATGCTGTAAACATAACAGAAAAAGTACTGGATGTTTTCTGGTCGTACTGGTCATTTTATATATGTATACACACACACACACACGCATATAAATGTAATTTTAGACATTTTCTTTTAAAAGACAAACACACACAATTAAGTACATGTAATACCTTTTTTGCTTAATTTGACAAATTTATGGCTTGATTTGAAATGACCCAAAATCAAAACAAAAGTAGTATTTATTTAGATTTTTCTTTGTTTTCTTCACACATCACACGCCTCATATTTAACCTCAAGCTCTTCACTGCAGTCGTCTTAGTAAACAACTAACAAACTATTGCTAAAATGTTTTTAATAGAGACAAAACAGTGTAAATGACTTTGGGACACTTGTAATTTGTATTAAAATTCATATAAATAATTTTTAGGCAACAAATATTACAATTATTAGCTTTTTCCTTTTTTGTTTAAATTATCATCATTTTTAAAAAAATAAAAATATATATATATATTTTTTTTTTTTTCAGATTTTGTATTTTCCAAAAAAAATACAAATTTAAAAGCAGTAATTCAATGACTCAGATGTGTCTATATTCTCTGAAATTCTCACTAGGTCTTGAAACTGCCATCATTTCATTCTTAAGAAGCTTGAATGTGTTGTCACCTGTTACATCGTCACTAATTAAGTAGGCGGAAATATCAACCGATTCATGTCTCCATTTAAGATGTGCTGTCTGTTATTTCCCATATGTCAGTATAGCATATGCAAAAGCTGGAACAAAAGACATAAAATGCTGCTTCGAATGCGTATTGGCCTGAATACACAACCAAACTGGAGCAGAGGAACAAAGACTCGTCACAAAGTGCCTTTTCAGAGCCCAGTTAGACTGACACATGTGAGTGGCACTTCAATAACGACTGCAATTAACAATAATCAATTCAAAACCATTTCTGAAGCCCATTATTAACTTGCTCTCAAAACCCTGCCCAAAAATACTATCATTTATTATTGACCCAGAAAGGTGAGAGAGAGAGAGAGAGTGAGAGATTTGATTTTTAACCACATATTTATTAACTACACAACTTCTGGTATAATTTACAAAATTCACATAGAGTTACTCAAATTCTTCAACAAATTGCAATGTATCATTTTCAATCCAGCACAAAACATTTTCTACACTCCAAACCTCTTCAAACTTTTCCAATTTCTTCATATGAGAGTAGAATTCTAGCTATTCTAGCTTTTATGAGTCCCTTGAACAACAATTCAGCATTTTTACTACTGCCATGAGCAACTTTATATTTCCTACTAATATAAACTGCCATTCTGGCTTGACCCAAAATAAAATTTAACAACCGTCCTTTCCTCTTTTTCCTTTTGCAATATTTAAAACCAAAAATAAACACAATCATTGTAAACATTTCATTAACATTAGTAAATATAATCTCCAATAAAGCAAACAAAGGTCTTAATCTCTCACAATGCATAAAACAATGAAATATGTTTTCTCTTTGATCACAAAAAGGACAGCAATCTTGCACATTTGGATTCAACACTGAGATAAAAGCATTTACAGCAACAATCCCATGTAAAATTCGCCATTGACGATCACCCACATTTTTAGTCAATGGTGGTTTGTAACAAGAGCCCCAAAAAGGCTTAACTTCAATATCAGCACTTAAATGGTCTCTCCATGGTGTATCCATTCGTTTTAGTTTCTCTTTATTTATCACCTTCACACAAACTTTATATAAACTCTTTCCACCCATTGTATCAAAAATGAAGTCTCTCAAATTCTCTGAGGTCATTAAAACATTTTCAATTACACTTTTAGAGATCACTATACAAGGAAAAAGATCCGTTTTATCAGGAAGCGCTTGACTCGACACAAAGTTCCAATCTTCTTCACTCAAATTTTCTCGCCACTTCTTTAACAAAAGATGGACTGTCCTTGCTGATTTAATTCCAAGTCTCTGCGCAAGTGCATCAACATTGTCCAACGCGATACCAGCCACTTCTATTAAGTCCTTCATTTGAACAACTTTGGCTTTTGTTAACGTTTGCATCAACCATAAAGTTGTATGTCCACAAAACTCCAGTCGAGCACCATTAATCAAAGGTTCTTCCAAAAACCAATACAAAGACTTACATGACATTGATCTTTTAACCTGTACCATACACCATGCTCTTCTTACACTCTCATAAAAGGAAGAAATAGACTTCAAATTAAAACTCTTACAATCTGTCCAACAAATATTTCTTCTAAAACCCCACCCTCCAACCTTACTTAAAAGGCAACAGGCTGGTCCAAACCATGATATATTTGGATTATATAAAAACTTTTGAACAAACTGTAGCCTAAAAGCTACTTTCCTACTTATAAGATCAACAACCCCTTGTCCACCTTCTTCCTTTGGAAGATAAAGAACATTTCGTGGTAACCAATGTAATCTATCCCAAAAGAAATGTATCATCTTGACCTGTATTTTTCTAAGAACCCCTACCGGAGGCTCTAAAACTGATAACCTGTGCCATAATGAGGAGGCTACTAGATTATTAATAATCAAAGCGCTCCCCCTAAAAGACATTTTAGGTCAAATCCATTTCCACCTTCCTAATCTTCCTTCTACATTTTCCAGGACATTTTCCCAGTTTCTTTGCATTATTATTTCATCACCCAAAAAAACTCCAAGATATTTAAGACCTCTTTGTCACCAAACCATTTCACCTGGTAAAACCAGTTCTCCTTCATTCCATTTTCTAACCCTATATGCTGAACTTTTAGCCCAATTTACTTTTGCAGATTAAATTTTTGCATAAATATTAACAATATCAACCAGTTTATCAATATCATCCTGTCCACTGGTTAAAACCAATACATCATCTGCATAAGTTTTATGGGTGGAAAAGTACTCTCATATCTAAAACCATCTAAACCGCTCAAAAGCCTTCTCTTGATCTAAGGAAATTATAAATATATATATATATATATATATATATATATAGAGAAAATAATAATATAAATAAATATTAAGTGAATATTAAGTGAATATTTGTGATGAATTTTAAAAACATTTTCAAACTAATTTAAAAACATTTCAAACAAATATTGTATATCATGTTTTATATAATATTTATTTTATATGGTGGCAAAAATGCCACCAAAATGAATGAAAATGCCCCCAAAATTCAAGATAGGAGTTCCTGTTTTTAATATTCCTAACATATCACACAAGTGCTGTTTTTTTCCGAATATCAGCACAGTTGCAAATATGATATTGATTTTATACAACAGTTCGATGAACAAGAAATTTATTTTCAGTGGCTTGCATTTTAGACACATTACTGTCAATATTGTCTGTTTTTACTCTATTTCACCAACAATAATTGTAAACAAAGCAAAAACAGAGCCATAGCTTTGTTTCTCTGAACAACACACAGCGGCGTTTCATTACTGAAAGCAGTCAGCATTTTTGAACAAATCAGGTGAGTCAATGATTCAATGATCCATGCATATAGTCATTTTTGTTACTAGAAGCAAAAAAATAAAAAATAAATAAAATAAAATAAAATAAAAAAATATAAAATTAAATTAAATTAAATAAAATTAAATTAAATAAACTTAAATAAAATTAAATTAAATAAAGTTGCCAAGACAACATTTCTCATTTTCATTAAGTTTAACCTTGATTTACTAAAATAACTAAAACTGAAATAAAAATGAATAAAAATCATATAGACATAAAAAAGAAAATGAATTCATTAAAACTGACAAAAAGACAACAAAATTGCTAAAATTTTAAATAAAATTAAAATGTAAAATATAAAAATAAGAACTTAAAATATTAATAAACTTAAAATATTAATACAAACTACTAAAGTAGCACAAAACTGTGCATTCATTAAAAATGAATTAATGAGTTTTAGTTTCATATTTAAAGTGTATCATTAAATTTTTGTAAATTATTTCATACAGTATTTCAATATTCAAAATGTTATATTTAAAACATTAATCTCATAATATTATTTATGCAATTGTAATTGCAATTTAGTCATTTCCTTACACTGGGTCATAGTATAATATTGATATATACACTATAATGGAACTGAATGATCAGCATATTCATATGCTGTGCTACTTTCAAAGAATACAATAGTACATGCTCAAACAACCTTTATAATACAACAATTGCATTTCCGAAGAACATGGTAATACTAAACAACTTTTTTGATACTAAAAACACATAAAATAGTTCCTGGATGAAATATGAATCATCTGGGCAACATTCAAACACATGCATCTCCAGTTCAGTTCTGAGCGTGTGATTTCATGTAATCTATAGCAGTATTTCGTGGTGCAGTGCCATGTCTCTCGGTGAGCTGATGGCACACAGGCACGGCACAGATGGGAGAGGCAGTCTGTGGGCGTCAGGAGTACAGTAGATCTGCTTAGCCTCACACGAACCCTAATAAAGCTCCACACACGCAGGACAGTATGAGCTGCACCAGCCTAATGTCTAAGGTGACTCTCTGGGATGTGATTAGAGGATCTGCATGCACACTTTTGCATGTGACAAGTTCATAAGGGGAAAACGTTCGGCCGCAAAAAGCATGCATTATCGCATCACTATGCATCAGTTTAAACGCCAATCACTCGAGCGCCGCGTGTGTTCTGCTGGAAAGCGCTGAAGGTGCGGTGAAAGGTTGTTGAGTGTGTGTACGTGCATCAGAACCTCATTTAAAAGGGTCATAATAGCTGCTCTTTATGATCCGATCAGTCATGTTTGAGTGTAAGAGCGTGGGCTGGTCTCGCATGCTCTCAGAAAGCGCTTTTGATTTAGTACTGCTTTAAAAACTGAAAAATTAACAATGCACAAAAACAGTCTTGAAACCCAACAGCTACTGCGGGAATGCAAAACAGCTACTCTGCATACAAGAACATGCATTTTGTTATTACGATCTGTCATTTGGTTTAGTTTTAGATGGTCAGTACTTCAAACCAATTGCATTTCACTGCAGCTCTAAGTGGCTCTTTCTGGCTGAAATGAAGCACAAAAGCCAGCTTACATAATGAAATCCAGTAGTGCATCTCTCCTAAGATATATGTTTGGGACAATATATTAGATATGCTCCAGAGTCCAGAGGTATTCATAGCAAACTAAAATAACGTGTTATTGTAGTATCATTGAGATACTATTATATTTTGAATCAGTTTGTCATTTTTATAGGTTGTTTTTATTTTAATTTTAGTTAAAGTTTTATATATATGTGTGTGTGTGTCGTTCGTGCAAAGGCAGCCTGGTCACTTGGCAACCTCACAGACACACTCATTGTCAACATGTAAGAAATGTGTGTGTGTGTGTGTGTGTGTGTGTGTGTGTGTGTGTTAGTGTTATGTTGAATGTTAACTGAAATGAAACAAAATATAAAAACAACTTATTTTAAGCTATTTCTTATTTTATTTCAACATTTCACATTTTCATTTAGTTTAACCTGATATGCTAAAATAACAAAAAAAATGTAAAAAATATATTTATATATAGTATAATTATATATAGTATTATATACAGTACAGTATATTATATATGCAATGCTACATAGTATATTATATACAGTAATTATATATAGTATATTTAAATATATTTATATAATAGTAACTAAAATAACACTGTTTTGAACGAATCAGTTGAATGAATCAGTCAGTGACTAAATAAGTTTTAGATTTTCATAAGTGTATCATTTATTTTTTTTAATAATTTCATATTTCAGTATTCAAAATTTTATATTTAAAACATTAGTTGTTATTAAACAAAATGTTTTTTTTTTTTTTTTTTTTTCAGATAACATTTATTTTGTTTTATGGTTTTATTTCTAGTTTCAGTTTTAGTTTTAGTTAACTATAATAACCATGTGCCAAACACGTTGTCTTAGTTCGGTGTGTTTCTAGTCTTATACAGAATTTGCACAAGTTTTAAACAAGTTTTAAATTATGAGAATAAAGTTGTAAGAAAAGTAACATCCTAAAACACAACATGGTTTAATGTTCTGAAACAATGTCTCAATGACAGTTTCTCTCACATTTTTCATGTCATAAACATTATCTAAAGCCGAAATAACAAGACACAGCAAAAACAAAACTTTAACAGCCAAACTCTCTGCCATATAAACTACTATAATGAAAAAAACCTTTGAACTTTATGCATAATCCTACTATCCATCTACATGCAAGTTAATGAACCCAGAATATAAATTCAATATTCTTAACATTTCTCCAAAATGTTTTTTTATGAGTGAGAAAAACCTTAAAATAAAGCACAGTTTTTTCCTTTGGACTACGCCGATATTGTTTTGGCAGGAGATCATGTTTATGACATGGGAAATGTGAGAGAAATTTGGTAGTCATGTATGAGTGAATCTCAACTGGTGGGTTGCGAGGTCTGTTCTGACAGCAGAAAAACAATGCTGAATGCAATTGATGAAATGCTGCTAACCATATAATCATGTGTAAATAAATAGGTATTAAAAAAATGCTTCCCATTTCTTTTGTTGTTAACATTGAATGGTACAATCAGTATTTCATCTGCAATCTAGAAGCAGCTATATAAGGCAGACGCGTGACATGCCCCACCCTCACAAACAAATCAACACAACATAAAAGAAAATATGACGCACACTACATCTAAAAGGGTTCACGGGTAAATCACACTTCTGCTGCTCTTTTATTGCTATTCAGTTCAAAACTACAACAAATGGGTTCACTGCAAAATAATAATAATATCTGTTTAGAACATTATTTTAATGTCTTTCACAGGTAAATCACACTCTTGCTATTGTTTATACATATTTTCTTATTCATATTCAATTATTAACATGTCAAAACAAACACAAGATAAAAGAATATGACTCAAACTACATCTAAAATTGGTTCATGAGTAAATCACCCTTGTGCTGTTGTTTATGCATTTACAAAATGTCTATATTCTTATTAATTCCTATTCAGTTATTAACATGTCAGGTTATGTCGGGCCTGCGCAGTTCATGGTAACATTAATACATTTGTAGTACCATTTTAATTTTAATTGGACAATAATCTGATAATCAAATAGTTGCATCTCAGCCAAATATTGTCCTATCCTAACAAACCATACATCAATGGAAAGATTATTTATTCAGCTTTCAGATGATGTATAGATCTCAATTTCATAAAATTGACACTTATAGCTGGTTTTGTGCTCCAGGGTCATATATATACTACAATGTGCATTTAAGTCTAGAAGAGAGAGAAAAACTGAAGGATAAACAGAGCAAAACAGAGTGACAAACGGCTTAGCTGTGCCATTTTTAGAACTCTATTAATAAAAGCATCAAATACAGCAAAAAACACTGGCAAACCATTTCTAATATCAGAGACCAATTATAGCGTTGTAATTCCTGCACAGAATGTGTCTGCAATTTTAACACCACAAAAAAAAACACTTTCTTAATCTGTTTTTTGTCTTGTTTTCCATTAAAAATATAATGAAGACATTACAAGTAACTTGAGTTTTCATTTGCAAGGCAATACATTTTTCTTGTTTTTTCCTCTGTTTCCTTCCATCTCACTTTTTTGCTCTATGTAACTTTTTTGATAAAGAAAATGATTTGTGCAGTCTTCGTGCAATACAATGCAACTCACCGTGAGCGTCTCGGTAGTAGGCATGCGTCACACTCCTGAATCGCTCCTGTCCTGCCGTGTCCCAGATCTACAGAGTGAGAGGATACACACACTTCACCTGCTTCATTCATGCATTCATCACATTCATACTATCATATCAGCTTTCACTCTTCACCATAAAAGCAATTGAAGTGGAGCAGAGGAGCAAAAGCTTTAATTAGCTGATGTGGTAATGGCGTGCAGTAGAGGACAAGAATGTGGATTTATGGGTGAGGTCGAGACTATTACACCATCCACGTCCTGATAAGAGCACCTGTCTCACACACACACACACACACACACACACAGATCTGTCGGCCAGGGTCATGTTTCACACTGATGAAACCGAGCGAGCAGACATGAATGCTGATGAGCAGAGCAGTCTGACATTAATAAAGACTGGGAGATACTGCGCACAAACACACACACAAATAAGCACTAAAAAGCATCATAAATGGCTTCAAGTAATACGAAGGCATTCAATAGTTCTAGACACTTTATGTATTAATAATTTATTCTGTTATTTTCCATATGCATATACAGTATATTATTTTAATTTTTAAAGGAATGGATCATCCAAAAATGAACATTTGCTGAAAATTGACTCACCCTCAGGCCATCCAAGATTAGGATGAGTTTGTTTCTTCATCAGGTTTGTAGAAATGTAGCATTGCATCAGTGTCTCAGCAATGGATGCTCTGCAGTGAATGGGTGCCGTCAGAATGAGAGTCCAAACAGCTGATAAAAACATCACAATAATCCACAAGTAATCCACAGCACTCCAGTCCATCAGTTAACATCTGGAGAAGACAAAAGCTGAAACAAATCCATCAAGACGTTTTTAACTTCAAAACATCGCTTCCAGTTAAAATACGAGTCCATATCCATAATAACACTTCCTCCAGTGAAAAAGTGTTCTGGTGTGAATCAGGAGAGAAATCTGCACAGATCAAGCAGCATTTAAACAGCTCTAAACACATATGTGGCTGGATTTTGATGTGAGAGACAACAAGAGATGCACTTTTTCACTGGAGGAAGCGTTATTATGAATTATATACTCATATTTTAGTTAAAAACGTCTTAATGCTGGATTTGTTTCAGCTTTTGTCTTCTCCAGATGTTAACTGATGGACTGGAGTGCTGTGGATTATTTGTGGATTATTGTGATGTTTTTATCAGCTGTTTGGACTCTCATTCTGACGGCACCCATTCACTGCAGAGCATCCATTGCTGAGACACTGATGCAATGCTACATTTCTCCAAACCTGATGAAGAAGCAAAGCAATTTTAGCAAATTGTTTGGTTGAACTATCCCTTTAATGTGCATTCCTGTAGCTTTCAAATGTACTCTTAAAAATAAAGGTTCTTTACCTGGCATTGATGGTTCAATGAAGAACCTTTAACATCCACTGAAACTTTCCATTGCACAAAATGTTCTTTTTACAAAAAAAGGTTCTTTTAACAACTGCTCATGAAAGGTTCTTTGGGGAACCTATTTTTAAGAGTACAGTGCCAGCAACCCAGAGGTTATAGGTTTCATTCCCAGGGAATTCAATAACTGAAGAAATCTATATCTTGAATGCAATGCAAGTCGCTTTGGATAAAAGTGTCTGCCAAATGCATAAATGTAAATGTTAATATTTTTACATTAAAAAAAAAAAAATAAGAATAACACAATGGTAAGTCTATGAAGCCAATATGAAGTGTGAACTTATGAATAAAAATGAGTGATTTCATTTTTAAATTGGATGGCGGCAGTGTCTACTTTTCTGTGTCTCAGAAATCCAAACTTGTCAAGATAGCATTAAACTAAGATACTGTATTACACATTTTCCAAAGTTAATGTTTTAAACATTTTGAGAAAGATAAACATGCTTCTGTGTCTCAAACTCAAGCAGGATGCATGCAATAAAAGTGATTTCTAAAACAGAGTCACCTAAGAAAAGGCACAAACTGTTATACATCTGATTCAAACAGAACCTTTTTTTTACATATAGCAAATAATTCATAAAAAGAAGAAGTATTTTTGGGTGAACTATCGCTTTAAAAATGAGGTTCGTGAACAGCCCCAGTAATGAGGCCCAACCTTGATGTGTGAAAACACGGATTCACAACGTAAGCATGTGTGAGGATTAGTTTTGCTTTGAGATGTTTGCACATTTGACCTGACACAGCGTTCTTTAATGATCCCTATCAACATGAATTCACCTATCAACCGCTCACCCTTTTCAACGGTCCACAATAATTACACTAACGACCTTAAAAACCATCTACTGTAACGCTATTCTCTGATTATACAGTATGTGCAGCAGAGCAGGTTATGAAGCTGTCTGTCTGGTTGAATCAAACACGCAGTCGAGTCTGTGTGTATCCTTTCACTAGTGCGAGGCATGCGGCTAATGGAGCGTTAAGGATCAATGACAGCCTCGTTAAACTCTCATTAGAGCTGATCCTCGAGATGCACATTCATTGTTTACTTAGTCAATATTAGCCAGAGGGAGCGAAGCAACATGGGAACATCCAAATGCATCACCTTAGTATTTAAAACAGCACAGATAATTGGAGTTGCTTTGAAATTAGGTAATTAAATCACCTAATTACTCCAGGGTTTATTGAGATAATATAAATGGCAACAGATGGTATCCAACCTAAAAGCTTATATTGAAAATATGCGCATTAGTAACTGATTTAACTCATAATATTCACTTAACAAAAAAGTAAAAATGGTACGTGTTTGTATGAGATATTACATTTTAATCTTGTAGAAAAGACCAGCAAGAAGGTCTGTTCTGGTCTATGCTGGTTTAGCACTGGTAAAGCCAACTAGTGTCTTAAAGTAATAGTTCACTAAAAAATGAAAGTTTGCTGAAAATTAGTATATCCTCAAACCATCCAACATGTGGATGAGTTTGTTTCTTCATCAGATTTGTAGAAACTGCATCAGTGTCTCAGCAATGGATGCTCTGCAGTGAATGGGTGCCGTCAGAATGAGAGTCCAAACAGCTGATAAAAACATCACAATAATCCACAAGTAATCCACAGCACTCCAGTCCATCAGTTAACATCTGGAGAAGACAAAAGCTGAAACAAATCCAATATTAAGACATTTTTAACTAAAATACAAGTCCATAATCCATAATAACTCTTCCTCCAGTGAAAAAGTGTTCTGGTCTGAATCAGGAGAGAAATCTGCACAGATCAAGCAGCGTTTAAACAGCTCTAAGTAGCTGGATTTTGATGTGAGAGACAACATGAGGTACTTTTTCACTGGAGGAAGAGTTATTATGGATTATAGACTAAATGTATTTTAGTTATAAACGTCTTAACGCTGGATTTGTTTCAGCTTTTGTCTTCTCCAGATGTTAACTGATGGACTGGAGTGCTGTGGATTACTTGTGGATTATTGTGATGTTTTTATCAGCTGTTTGGACTCTCATTCTGACGGCACCCATTCACTGCAGAGCATCCATTGCTGAGACACTGATGCAATGCTACATTTCTACAAATCTGATGAAGAAACAAACTCTTGGAGGGTCTGAAGGTGAGTACATTCTCGGGAAATTTTCATTTTTGGGTGGACTATTCCTTTAAAATAGCATTAAAAAAGTCGCATGCTCACCTGTAGTTTAACTCTCACACCATCAATGCTCAGCACCTTATTCTGCAATAAAAGAGGAAAGAAAGATCAGTCTTGCAAGTTATGGATTTGAACAGCTCCCTGCAGATGTCTCATTACCGTTTAACTTTGGGTCGGCTTTCTGGAAAGCACTGCAGATCCATCACACTTTGAAGGTGAGATGTCAGCAGAGAGTGTGGCGCTTTCGACTTTGAACTTTTATTAAATCTCCAGAGATGCTACCGTCATGTTACACAGCTCTGTTCGGCTTCAATGCGAAAGTCCAAAAATAGGTCTTTACTTCTATGAGCAGTATATATGAGTGATCTTTTAAAAATAAATTAATAATTTTATTTATCAAGGATGCATTATATTGATCAAAAGTGACAGTAAAGACATATCTAATCTTACAAATGATATCTATTTCAATAAATGCTGTTCTTTTGAACTTTCTATTCATCTGTGAATACTGAAAAATTTAATGTATCACAGTTTCCACAAAAATATTGTGCAGCACGACTGTTTTCAACTTTTTTACTATATTTTTGATCAAATAAGTGCAGCCTGGGTGAGCAGAAGACACTTCTTTCAAAAACATTAAACAAATCTTACCAACCCAAACTTTTGAATGGTTGTGTGTGTATTTATATACAGTATACTTAATAACATATAAATAATATGATGCCACTACATCCAATTATAGTTACTGTTCATTTAAAACTTTTATTACATATGCAAGCATGTTTAGCTAATTTAAAACCTAAATTAAATTATTGACAGCAACCACAAAAAAAATAAATAAATAAATAAATAAAATAATAAAAAATATATATATATTCAAAGTTTAACATTGACAGAGACGTTTAAATCACACATTTACTTTTTGGATGTGTTGTTTGCAAAATAAAAATGCATTAACAGTAAATGTTTTTCCCCCCTTAAAATTGAGTTTTTTTACTTAGTTCACAGTTTACTTTACAGTTACTGACAGATTTTCCCAGTGCACACTCCAAAAGACCCAACTAACTGATTATAAAATTTGATGGCGTTTATTTTAATGATCAGTTCATCCATTAGTTGTTGCATCTTTGATGAATATTAATACAAACCCTTGAATTTCACTTCCTATCATCTTTCTAGCAACTTTCAGTGTTGATCTACAGAAAAACCTGTGGGAAAAATGCCACCATGATTGGCATTATTTCCTCTTGTCATGCTTTAATTGAGAAAAGGTCTATTTCTAGGCCTTCTGGGAGCTGAGAAGAGTTGACCCACACATCTTAATGACTGTGAATACTATACACTCTCATTACACGGTCACACCTAATGATGAGTGAGAAAACAGACACCATTTTAAACAAACACCAACATCACACAATCAGTCGTTTGCTGTCAGCAGTTTGCTGACTCGTTGAGATCAAGGCTAATAAAGTCATGGCAGGTCTGTTTCACTTTTGTGTTTATTGTATCTTCCTCTGTTGCAGCTGGAGATGGACGTCAGGTTTTTCTGCTTGAGTAGGGCTAAAAACATTAAAAACTATAGCTAACAACTGCGCTGTCATCTTCAGCGCCAAGGACAAACTCTTGGCATGTCTTGACATCAAATTGCTGCAGTCGCACACACTAAATTGGAAGGTGTGACACTTTTTGGACTTTCTGTGCTAAAGCAGCGGGATGTCAGGACTCGGGTCAGTTCAGCTGTCATTGCAGCAGAATATGACGGTAGTGTCTGGTGATGCATCATAATAAACCTACTGTCACACCGAGCAGCAGAAACTCATGTGACACACTGAGAAAGTTTAATTCAGGACCAAACCAGAACAACAATAGCAACATGAGAAGCAAAACACCACACGTTACAGTAATTGAACATGGTTAAGAGGGGTTCTGAGGCACTATGCAAACTGATAAATAAAATTGTAGTAACAGCAAAAAAATATATATATATAGGCCAACTATTTTCTCTAAATAAATTGCACATATTTATATTTACATTTAGCCATTTAGCAGATGCTTTTATCCAAAGCGACTTAAAAACGAGGACAATAGAAGCAAAACAAAACCAACAAAAGGGCAATAATATATAAGTGCTGTGACAAGTCTCTGTTAGCCTAACGCAGAACACATAGCAAGGTTTTTTTTATAATAAATAAAAATAAAACAAGTCAAACAAATAGAAAAAGAATAGAGAATACTAGTGTTAGATGGTATTTTTATATAATAAATAAAAATAAAACAAGAAGATAGAATAGAAAAAGAATAAAGAATGCTAGTGTCAGAGGCTCTCTCTCTCTTTTTTAAAGAAGACAAGTAGTAAGAATAGAAATAAAATAGAGAGTGCACGTGTTAGAGGGTCTAAGGTTTTTTTTTTTTTTTTAGAATTAGAATAGAAAGTGCTAGAGTTAGAGGGTCAAATGAAGATGGAAGAGGTGTGTTTTTAGTCGTTTCTTGAAGATGGCTAAGGACTCAGCTGCTCAGATTGAGTTCTCGGATTGATTTGGGCAGGTCATTCCACCAGGAGGGAACAGTTAATGAAAAAGTCTGTGAAAGTGATTTTGTGCGTCTTTGGGATGAACAATAAAGGGACGTTCACATGCAGAACGCAAGCTTCTAGAGGCACATAAGTCTGAAGTAGTGAATTTAGGTAAAGGGGTGCAGAGCCAGTGGTGGTTTTGTAGGCAAACATCAATGCCTTGAATTTTATGCAAGCAGCTACTGGTAGCCAGTGCAAACTGATGAACAGAGGTGTGACATGCACTCTTTTCAGCTCGTTAAAGACTAATCTTGCAGCTGCATTCTGGATTAGTTGTAGAGGTTTGATAGAACTGGCTGGAAGACCTGCTAAGCAAGCATTGCAATAATCCAGCCTGGACAGAACAAGAGATTGAACAAAAAGTTGTGAAGCATGTTCCGAAAGAAAGGGCCTGATTTTCTTAATGTATGTATAAAGCAAATCTGCAGGACATGCAGTTTTAGCAACATGGTCTGAGAAATTCAGCTGATCATCAATCATAACTCCAAGGTTTCTGGCTGTCTTTGAAGGAGTTATGGTTGATGTGCCTAACTGGATGCTGAAATTGTGATGGGTTTGTTGAAACCACAAGCAGTTCTGTCTTGGCTAGTTTGAGTTGAAGGTAATGGTCTTTCATCCAACAAGAAATGTCTGTTAGACAAGCTGAGATGCGAGCAGCTATCGTCGGATCATCAGGATAGAATGAGAGGTAGAGTTGAGTGTCATCAGCATAGCAGTGATATGAAAAGCCATGTTTCTGAATGACAGAACCTAATGATGCCATG